AAGGTGCACAAAGGCACTGGAGGCGAAACTTTCGCACGAAACATCGTGCTGAGCGCGATTAAGTCCGCATGTCTGCTCCGGGAGGGTGTGGGAAGTCACTCCATCTGGCGGAGCACTCGGATGCTCGCCGTTAGAGTGTGGCTGGAGAGCTATATGCTCAGTCGAGATCTCATCAGAGGGGAGATGAGTAGGCAATTCCTCTTTCGAGGAAGCGATGGCAGGAGATGACCTCATCTCCATAGAGCAATCCTGGCTATGGGAGTGGACATGCAAAAGGACATCATCACAAATGCTGTCCGGAGGTAAATGGATGGTCGGGCCAGTGGGTAGAGTGACCGGCTGCTCTAAATCATCTATGAGAAGGTCGTCATCATCTAAAAGGCCAAGGTCTGGGAGACAGTGTGGGTCCGAAGAGGAAGGCTCAGCCTCATCCTTCGACTCAGGAGAGAGGGGAGCAAAGAACGAATGTTTGGCCTTGAAGGCCGACTGAAGAGCTAGGTTAGTACTATGTTGTTGCTAGGTTAGTTACCTCCTTTTGCTAGGTTAGTTATATGGCTCTGCAAATTTAGTTTTCTATTGCTGCAACGTTACTTGTATGTAGGATGCATTCTCAATAAGCTCAATTTTGCAATGTTAAATCAACATTTCTTTTTTTAATTATTATTATTATTATGTAATCAACATTTCTTTTTTTAATTAAGATTTATCCTTTTTGTTTATGAATGAATATGATTTTTGATGCAATGTTAGTTTTATGATTTTGCAATGTTAGATCTAAGGGGTTGCAAGGTTAGTTGCAATGATAGTTGTCTTTCCTTACTAGTTTTTTTTTTTTTTTTTTAATAAACGACGCCCCGAGGGGCGGGGGATTGGGCTGGATCCCCAACCTATACATAGATAAAAACCCTAAAATGGGCCAAAAATAGTCAGCATAGTCTCACAATCAAAACAAGAACGAAAAAACAGAAACAAAAATAATACAAGGTCTGTCATCGGGCTAACAAGTGCCTGGAATAAATGGATGATCTAAATAAAACAAAAACAAAAACCCTAATATACTGGAATCAAAACGATGGATAACCCAGCTGATCCATCCGAACTAGCGTTCGAAGGCGGAGTGGAGCAGTGTCGGTCTGATACGTGTGAGTGTCTGGTATGGTAGTGCCAAGGCTGGCAAGGTGATCAGCAGGTCTGTTCCCCTCACGGAAGATGTATATGATCCTGTAATGGACAGACCGAAGTAGATCTCTAATGCGCATAAGTGGGTGCTGAATCTGCCACGAGCCCTGATGACCTGAGGTCAGGAGGGTGACGACAGCCGCAGCGTCCAGCTCAATCCAAATATGACTAGAGAGGTCAGCAGCAATTTGAAGGCCAATTTGTAATGCCTGAATCTCTTCATCGTAGCTCGAGGAGGCCTGAAGGGATGTGTGGAAGGCAGTGATAAGAGCTCCACTGTGGTCCCGTATCAAACCTCCCCCTCCGGCAATACCGCTATGGCGATCGAAAGATCCATTGGTGTTCAGCTTGACCCAAGGAGAGTCAGGTCGAAGCCAAACAACAGCTCTGGGCCGAGGGACCGAACAGGCGCAGGGGGAGCCAGCTTGTAGCGGTGTGGTGGCGTGCAGCCTGTCCAGTCACGGGCAGAAAGCCTGCCCAACGCTGTGAGGAGCGAAATGTGTCTCTCCACCTGCAAAACAATGTGAGAAAGCAAGAAAGTAATATCCCTATGCTTCGCACTATTCCTTTCCGTCCAGGTGAACCAAAGGATCAGACAAGGAATGAGGAAGCTCACGTGTCTAAAGTGTGTGCTCTGTGAGAAAAAAACTCAGGAGCTCAAAAAAACTGTCTGTGGAGAGTAGGGATATATGAGTCCAAGTAGCAAAATGCTCCCATACTCTATCACTATCTCACTCTCTAGAAAAAGGTGGGTAAAGGTCTCGGTCTCATGACGTCCGGTCTCAGAACAACACACACATCGGGAAGGGAAGGAGATCCCCCTCGCATGTAACACAGTGTCCACGGGTATCCGGTGCAAGAGGAGGCGCCAAAGGAAAACAGATATGGTAGGGGTGAAAAGGTCGCTCCAGATGGCTCCGAAGAGAAGATTAGGCCGATCTCTCAGCCTGATCTGCTCCCAAGAAGAGGTAGTAAAAAACACACCCGATGATGTAACTCTCCACCTCATACCATCCGAACCGTCCCCCGAGACGGGTATCTGCTGGATCCGATCTAATAACTGCTCACTAAAACCCACCCCAGAGCCCAACTCTCTGTCAAGCTTCCTCCTATCCCACGACTCGTCCTTCCAAAGGTCGCGCACAAGTAGGTAGGGGGAATGCAACACTTGCCTATCTCTAGACAAAGGCTTATCACCTAACCACCACTCATCCCAGAAACTAACATCGCCATCCCCCAAAACCAAAAAAATGTGATCCTGGGCGCGCCTACCAACCCTAGTAAGGCGCCGCCACTGTCTGCTATCATGTGCAACTGCCGTCACCCAACAAGGGTGGTTGGCGCGTCTAGAGCAGTACTTGCCGCGAAGGTACTGGGCCCAAAGCGACTTCTCTTCCCTGAAGCGCCACCCACAACATGTATGAGAAGGCAGTAACAATATCCCTGAGGCGACGGATGCCAAGGCCACCCTCAGAGAGAGGGCGGCAGATAGAGTCCCAACTCACCCAGTGGGTACGTCTCTCCCTCCCCGAACCATCCTCGTAACCCCAAAAACAACGATCCATGATCTGGTCAATCTCGTCAAGAGTGTACCTAGGGGGGTCTAGGACCATAAGTAAATGAATCGGAAGGGAGGTAAGGGTGCTCACTATCAGAGCAAGCCGACCACCGAAAGAGAGATGTCCATGCGACCAACCAGAGATCCTATCGATCATCCTCTGCCTAATGCCCGCAAAGAGCGCCCTCGTAAGGTTGCCCTTATAAAAAGGGGCACCAAGGTAGGTAATGGGAAGGTCGTCGCGTGCAACGCCAGTGATCTCGTGGATTCGCTGAGCCCACCTGTCCACGCTGGAGGAGGAAAGGGTGAAGGTACTCTTCTGCACACTGATCAGCTGGCCGGTAACCGAGCTATAATGCTCCAGAAGGTGCATAAGCTCCATTAGCCCATCATCATCCGCTCGAGTGAAGATGATGATGTCATCCGCATAAGAAAGGTGCGAGACAGGAGGACCATAGCCACGGGTGCTATAAGTCATCTGAGGATAGTCGCGGATGAAGCCGTCGAGGCAGCGAGAGAGGTAGTCCGCCGCAAGGACAAAAAGGGGACTGGGAAAGGGGGTCTCCCTGTCTAAGGCCTCTAGACAAAGGAAAAAAATCAGTGGGGCTACCATTAACCAGAACCGAGAACGTGCAATGCTCCACACACGCCTCAACAAAGCTAATCCATCGCTCAGGGAATCCCATCCTAGCCAGTGCCTCCCTAAGAAACAGCCACTCCACTCTATCATACGCCTTAGCCATGTGTTGAGGTATACAGTAAAGCAAACTTTTATGTGAGCTTTTGGATTGTATTTATTCGATTTCCCATTTGACTGAAATAAATGTTTTCACATTGTTGCATTATTTATGATTGCTTGTATGCTAAATGTCCAATTATCTTATATTGTAGACAATGTGGTGTACTAGTAGTCACACAGAAGATTACATTGTCGGTCCCTTATAAGATATAAATGGTATTCACAACTGAGATAGTTATGGACATGACTATCGGTTTAGGTTGTAGTATAAACTGGATATAGCTTGTCTTGGCTATTGGTTTATACTAGTGCGCTACGTCGCATTGAATGGATCACAGTTGAGACGTGTTCTTCAGTTCTGACTATCATTAAGAACCTAGGTCTCGGTGACTCTACTAATTCTTAACCCTAATTGTGATACTTAGATATGCGAAATATTTGTTTGTTACTTTGATTTACCATGGGTGAGAGCCAAGTATTGGTTCAATATGCTCTGTATCTTGGGTAACAACATTATCTGCATGATATCTATTTATTGGCATTAGGGCACCGTGTCCTGGACATCCAGGTTTATGACGTCCCCTTAAGAAACTCATAAGGATTATTGTATAAACCCTGCAGGTGGATTTATTCTGTACGATAATAAGGTTGAGTGGTACTACTTAAGGAATAAAAGATATTAATTAATTAAATCAGTCAGAAGCTTTGATAATTAATGGACGTGCGATATCTTAAACACGGGGAATTATATTGAGTCTAATAGAAGCCCTGATTCATTTCGGGATAGGACGGGAGTGCAATATTAATTCTCTAGTGGAATGAATTAATATTTACGGGCCAAATTGTGTTCTGGGCTGAACATAAGAATTTTGGCCTGTAGGGAGCCCAAACCCTAAAACTTCTAAGAGATCCCTAGTCTGGCCCAAGGACTCTATAAAAGGAGGGATAAGCACACGTTCTTGAACCCTAAGAGATCAGTTCACGTCATCAGCCACCACACCAACGTGGGAGAAGGAATAAGGAAACGTGAGGGGTTCAGAGAAGAACAAAGGCAATCTGCTCCTTTCAACCATTTGGAGGATCGTCGTCCATCCG